GATTAAATATTGCAGCAATTGAACAAACAAGTCAAATTGTAACATACTTGCTAAAAATTACAAATGTTGATGAAGTTCACACATTATTCTGATATGAAATCTCTAGCCATCGATATGATCTTAAATTTCTTTTCTTGTTATTTTATTAAGTTATACTTTAGTTTGTATTTTCATTTGTTATCAATCAAGATTTGATTACTTGAAAACTTCACTAGCTCTCAAGTTTTATTATCAATCAATAATTTCTTTTTAAGTTTCACAACAATATTCTACTTAAGCTTATTGATGAGTGTTAACTTTCTCTATAAGAATCAAGTTCTACTTTGTCTTAAATCAATTCAATGTCATCATTATCATCAATCTCTCCATCATAATCTTTAAAAATGAATGAATCTATCCATAATCTATACCCGATAAGAGCTTTATTTATTCAATTTGATGATTTTTTATTGACAATTCTTGTTGATTTCTATTAAATTGTGCAAATTTTTTTTGTGTCTGAATTCATAAAGTGGAAATAAAATTATTACATCAACAAAAAAAAATCAACGAAATACAGTATGGTTTTAACTATTTTAGACTAAAAATCATATGATAAATCAGATTTATTCAATTAATTGTGCATCTTCTTTAATCATATTTGATTGGATTTTTTGAATACAACATATTGTTGCAACAAATCAGATTGTAGTGAAATGAACAGTATTTTTTTTCAATAATTTTTCATAATTATACTTCTCACAATATTTGTATAGAAATATCTCATCTTGTGTCTAATCTAAGTCTTAACTTAGAAATTTTCTTTTTTTTGAATTTATACAAATCTAATAATTTTGTGTACATAATTTTTTCATAGAAATTATGAATCAATAAAGCATCATAAGAAAGCCTCACTCATGAGACTTTCAAAAAGTATCTGACATCATTATGTACACTCTTAAATTATTCATAAGAATTGTGAATTTCAATATCAAAGATTTTATATGATTCTTATTCCAAAAAAAAAATGTTCATTCAACTAAAAAGCAGTCATATAATGACATGTAACAAGCTTCCATCGTTAAAGAATGTAAAGTACCTATTACTTATGTGAATTAGTCTAGATGATCATGCATGAATCATCTTAACACAAAATTATGCTAAAGTTCTTTGGTTTGTAGTGAATTGTAGTGCTTGTGTATTTCTAATATTTTTCTATCATCTATTTTCATCTCAAACATTTTATTTCTAAAATAAAACTTTGGAATCTAACATTTCAAGAATTAGAATTAATTCTAAATATAAATATAATTCAAATCAATGTACAATTGTCATCTTACATTTTAATTTTAACGAATCCTATATCTTCAATTTTACACAATTAATCATTTTTTATAAAAATTAAATCATTTAATAGCGCAAAAATTATCTAATTTTTCTATTGTAAAAAATATGATAAAAAAATCCAAATTTTAAATTCATACATCAACATTTTTTTATGATGAGTTGCGTAGGTTATAAATTTGTCATCATGGTCCATTATTAAGCAAGTTATTCTCCTCAAGATCAAACTCCTGTTCATATTGACTAAGAGAATATCATTTGCTTTGATCTTTAGACTATAATCTTTTTGACTTAACCACTCCTTGTCATATTTTCAACAAATTACAATTTTTCTTCCTAAAGATTTACCTCTAGATTTAGATCCATCTCTAGATTCAAAATATTTGACATTTATATCATTCAATTAATATGATCGACCTCAAGTCACAATGTCATTTTGAATGATCAAGATGAAGTAGATGACATTATCATTACATATTATAAGTCATTTGTCAACAAGAAACTTATAAATTTTTTGTATGTGACTGTCAACATATCACAAAAAAACAACAGACATAATGATGATGCATAAGATGCAAGTAATGAGTTTAAAAATGTAAGGGGATTTTTTTTCATCATTTATCTACTCTTCAAAATTTTGAAAATTAATAACAAAATCATCAATATGATCTTGAATCTTGCTGCCCAAATATATTATCTTCAAACTCATCGAGTCATACAAGCTGTTAAATAAAGTTTTGCATTACAGTCATTACTCAAGAGGCTTAAAAAACAACAGATATAGTCATCAATCTCATTCATTTGCTTTAAAATCATAAATTGCAATTGTTGTATAGCAATATTTATATCCTACTCATCAAGTTACTTTCAATATTCATCATTATAGGTGAACAATTTCAGCAAGATTGTATTATCCAAACCGATAGCATTCTACTGCCTTTGATGTCTCTTTCAAAGTAGGAAATCATCACGTTTATTGTATTTGATCTCATGAAAGTCATCTTGCTTTTCTAGATTTTAAATGTGATTTTTTTCATTATTAAATAAAAAAATCTTTTTACTCAATAATCAAATGCAAAAAATTCGCTACAAACCAGTTAAAAAATATATGTTATACACTTTCATTGCAAAATCATTCGATCACGTTGAAACTAGCATATGCGGTTGAAAATTCAATTCTCTACTCTTCTTATCTATATTATTTTGAAGAAATCTATTTCTTTGTTTTAACTTCTTTGAGTTTTTTGATATAATATAATTAGATTGCTTCAAAAAAAATTCATCATCAAAGACACGCTTGAGAAACTAGCAATTTGTAGAAGTGAAATATTATACCAATCAAATCTGCTTGCAAAGATAACGAGCATGTATGATAAGTTGACATAATGCTTCAAAATGTAACAATCAAACCTGCTTGCAAAGATATGTCTGATAAGTTGACATAATGATACAGTTATCATGTTAGTGCAATCTCCAGAACTTAAATGCCATGAAACATACTAACCAAATTGTAGCTATCTTAATAGCTACCATTGAATTCTTTAATCAACATCAATCATCTCCAAATTGCAAAGTTGTTATTTATGAGAAACAAATTTTTCCTAGTTAATCAAGAAACTGAAGCTGATCCTCTTGATTGTCTAAGATAGAATATCAGCCAGCATCAACTTTTGCAAGAATGGTAGTTGCAATGATGGCTTGTGAGCCACATCTTGGACTCATGATAGCTCCAACCACAATAATCTACCTTGATCTAACACCTCGGGTTACATCTTGCTTTTATTGATGGCAAACGTGGACAACTGACTAGGAATCACACAAAGAAGAGCTAATGACCAAGTAGACGTATATGGGAGCACACAAAAAAATTCACATTTGTCTGAAATTTCATCGTGGTAATAGTAAGCTTTGAAGAACAATTTATCCATCCATCCTACATATACTATAAATTGCAAAACCTTTAACAACTATACGATAGCTTTTTAACAGTCCATAAGTATTGTACTCTTCATTACCCTTTTAAGTAAAGAGATGGCAAATCAGAAAACCATCAAATGCAATATACAAGTCCTTGTGATCAAATCAAAACATTTTGTCGGCTTTTCTTAGTCTTTACTCCTACATTTGCCGATGCGCATTGAGCTCCTTGTTGTTGGCTAGAAAGACGCTAAACTACTCATATGATAGCCAATTTCTTGTGTGACTGAAAAATTCGATGCGGTTGACATGAAGTGCGTCTTGAAGTCGAGGAGACGGTTCGACGTAGAGCAGAACTGGCTGAAAGGCAGAGACAGGGGCAACTGCACCTTGCTGCTAAAATTCAATAAGAATTGTAATTTTTTGGAATAAATATACAAAGAATATAAAAAAAAAGATAAGATATGAAATTTTGAACTGCAATGCATGAATTTCAATTTTATTTTATAGAATGCGTATAAAAATTCTAAATACAAAAACTTCAAAGATGTGTCAAAGAAGATTATGAGAGTTTTGAATATGGATTTAGTAGTCAAATGTGATGAAAGTACTAAATCGGATATTTTCAGAAAATTTATGAAAAATATTAAAAGAAATCCTTTTGATAGTGCAATCATGATGATTTATTGCGCAAAGCTCATATACATTTAGTTAATTTCAGAACATCACTATTTCAAAACGTGACATATATGTCAATCTTTGAATTGCATCTATCTGGTTTTCATTTTTCAAGCAACTTATAGTAACATCAGTTTTGAAATGTAGAATTTGATATTATTTGAGTAGCATCTAACTCAGTTTTTTGTTAACTTTTTTGATATTAAGATGAATAGCAATCTATGAGAGATTTTTATGTGTTTTATGCTACGATCATACACATAGGATGGTTTATTATCTTATCTCTGGAAAAGTACTTGTATTGTTTCAGATTCAGTGAAGAAGTTAAGATTTGTTCACACAATTTATTTTCTGCTGTTAAAGAGTGTTTGATTTTATTTTCTGTTATTCTTGATTTTGAACATTGATTTTCTGAGTGGAAAATCAACTTTTAGAACTGATTTTATAACTGTAAGCAATTTTCTATCTTTCTACAAATACATACCTTGTTTTCAGTAGATTCTTGAAAATCATCACATACTTTTTTGATAAAGACCATCTCACGGCCGAAAGGCACCTATGATAGTGACTCATTGAACATATAAATAAGAGATAATCACTCTATGCTATTATGATTTGATGTACATCTTTCATTGAAGTTAGCATTCAAAAATCATATAATAAATCACAAATAGAACTTTCTGTTCACAAGTTGAGTTGATTTTATTTTTAAAAAAAATTATAATTTTTTTTTAATCAATTCAAACTCATAAATTAATTCATAATTTTTATGAATCAATATTTTTATCAATATAAATTTTTTAATAAAATAAATAATCCATCCATCTTTAGATTATGATTTCTCATGTCAATCAAGATGAGTTCCTTATATTAATAAAAAATTTATTGATAACTTATTAGATTCATAACTTATTTATCATGAATTTGAATTGATGAAAAAAATATAAAATTTTGTAAAAATAAAATCAACTCGCATGATGAATAAATAAACGGAATTTTGTTCGCTTGAGTACGGCATGTATCTCATCATTCGATTCCATACGTAGATGGATCACATTCGATATATAATTAGGAATTACGCGGTAAAAATAAAAATAAAGAGTCGTTCTGCTCAGAGGAAATAGGCAGTGAAATAAACGGAGGAAAATCAGCAGATTCGCCGGATCATAAAGGGAAGGAAGAGGAGTAAAAACGGCAGCAACCCTCATGCAGGAATAAGGGTCATGTGGAGAACGGTGATAGGCGCGAAGGGGCCGTGGCGAAGCATGATGGCGAGATCGTTAGGGCTCACTGTGCAAAAAGCTGCGAGTTCGATCGAGAAAAGGTGCGCCGAGAACGGGAGAGCCAGAACGAGGGAGCGAGCGAGCGCACAGTGAGCGACTCATGGCGAAAAGACCAAAAGATAAAGCGAAAAGCGAAAAAGGTCGGAGAATAAAGGGCGAGAATCAAATCGCGAGAGCCGGAAAGGAGACCGGCACCGAGGGCCGGCCAATGGAGCTCGAGGGCGAAGCACTTGTACTTGCTGGAGCTCTGTTTGAGGCTAATCAGGGATCACAGAAACAAACCCGAATCTATCCCGACGACTTCTTTTTCTGGCGCACTTTTCACTCGCCTAACCTCATCCGAAAGGTGCTCGCTTTTCCGAACACGAGCTGCTGCTTACGGAGCATTTACTCGCTCGCTCGATCGCTCAAGTGGTTCGGGCGCATAGAAAGCCGAGCCTGATGCGCGAACTGTAGTTGACAGTTTGGCGTTAAGGTTCGGTGCACTGGGAACCAAAAAAAACTATAAATTTATTCGTCGAGTAGCAACAAATTTTCTTTTTAATCATTGCAAGTTGATGGGGAACCCTCTTGAACGCGTCAGTCGGTCGGTCGGTCGGTCGGTCTGCTGGCATTTGCTTACTTAGGCATGCACCCCTCTTGCCAATCCCGTGTTTTCGTCTGGCTTTTCCCTCTAATCGACCCATTTGTTTATGCGTCGTGTTCGGGAGGTGATAATCTCATGAGTGCTGACATCTGTCTGATGCGTACCCTTCCACGACCGGTCGCGAGTAAAAACAAATGGGAAGTATTTTTCTCCGTCTTCTCTCTTGCGTTCTCGCTCGAGTACTCTCTCTCTCTTCCCCTGTCTCTCACTCCGTCGTCTTTACGTCTCTCGTACGAGGCATGTTTGACTGCCACTGTTGCCTAGACAGGGACGACCTAACAAACAGAGTAGAAATCTAGTGGCACAATAATAATATATTATTGTGCTGCATAAGGAAGAAATCTGAATAAAATCCTGCAGATAATCTGAATATAATGCTCTTGGTAATAGGATTTTGAAAGGATATATTTTATTTACACTTTGTGAGATGGTGATTGGAGACCGGAAGATATTTTAAGGGTCACGAAGGGTCCTTCTGGAGGATGGGGTAGTGGCAAAGGATGAAGGGTGGCAGGGAAAACGGAGGACGTCGAGTAAAACCCCACAGGACCAGAGGGAGAACGGGACAAGACAAGAGAGGCAGGGGACGGACCAGTTCCGTGTCCGACCTTTCAAGTGGACCACTCTGCGGTTCGAATTATGGATCTACTAGAGCACCACGTTGGCGCAAGGGCCGACGAAATATCACGTCCGAGTGGTGTCATGGGCCGAATCAGCATGACTTGATCAGTGGTACTGTCACCTAATCCTTGACTTGAGCCTTGGAGTGTTGCAGGGGCCATGAGTCAGGAATGACAAGCTCCGGGAACGCAAATGGAGCCGGACACAGTACTTTATCTCGATTATTGACGCTATATATCGACGCCAATGGAGGTTCAGTACAGTTCCCGGGCGAGGCGAGGCAGTAGAGCACGACCCAGTAAAGTGGAACAAAAGAGGAGATACGAAGGGACAGTTGTGTTCGTGAATTTACCAAATAATATCTAGATTCTAGATACCACAAGCCCAACAGTTACTCGCAACATTCGAAGCCCGAGCTTCTGAAGTTGTGCTGTCGGTCCAGTATGGGAGGTCTTCTTGGCAAAGGTAGACCTCCCATTTCAGGATGGGCTTACCTGCAAGTCCGCTTATAAGAAACCTTCACGTGAGGACTCGCACCATCGAGCTTCCATTCCCCACTGCTAGAAGTGACGGCCAGTTCTGCGATTACACCACCAACATGAGCACCCGCTAGCACTCCCATTCTCTCCCTCTCCTCTCCTCTCCTCTCTCTCTTTGACTGCATGACTACTGCCTGCGAATGTATGCCCGACTCTGTACCCACTCACTCGATTCGTGATTGAGTTCACAACGCAGTCATGCGCTTGATGCTCTTGAATCGGCCTTGTTCTTGCGATACACTCTCTATATCTCTCTTTGCATGCCGTTTCCTGGAGCTGACCCCGGCTCTCGATATCGTTCAGACATCCTTCTTTCTTCGCACGGTCACGGCTGCTGTCCCCTGCCGCTTATGCAACTCGGCCTATGCAACTCGGCCTCGCGGGGTGGGGTGGCGGTTCCGACGAGGTGGAACGATTAGAGTAGTCGGAATCATGGCATTCGAAACGCATGGAATCTCGAATGTGGATGCTGTTGCGTTTTCTCAGCGAACATTTTCGGTTTCGTGGTGATCGCAGAGGAAACGCAACAGCATCCACATTCTGCAAACTCCTGATATTCAGTCCCCGAAGTATTTGTTCCAAGTGATGGAACTCACGGCCTTCATCATGGATGGAGCCAAGACTACGAGGTGCACGTCTTGCTATCACAGTATTAGAGTCGGGCCTGCACATAACTTGAAGCCTGACATGGCAATGAAGGCAGCATGACTGAAGACGAGGTTTCCGTGTTGTCTATTATTGAAATGTTGGTAGTCCAAGCAAGGAAATCAAAGTCCTCGAACATGTCCTTACGATGCAAAGCTGGTTGTAAAGTTGGTCCTTACGTTGTTTCTGTCTGATCTCTGTCTGATCTCAGGCTCCATATGGATACGAGATGATTAACCCCAGCCCAATGTGCACGTATCGGTGGACATACATCTTTGGGTAATATGATAGTTGCAGCCCGTCTCTTTGAATACTTGTATGATGCTCGTTGATCTCTTGAGTAGTCCATAGTAGAGAAGACTTGACCTTAGCGTACATACCTGTGTTATACAGAATGTGAGGGGGTTGTCACACATAACTGCACAAAACCATGGCTTCATCTCCATTGTAGTTTTGTGATGTCTCCTGAACACTGAAGTCAACTGTAACGGTATCAAGTCGGGTGACCGAGACTGGTCTACAGAGGCCAGAAGCTCACATCGACATGCGCCATGAGCTGTCGAGTTGAACACATCAAAATATGTAACAGTAGCGGGAGGAGTTCTATGTCCACACGGTCTGCGCAGTTGACAGAGCGGTTGGTGTGGGAGCAGAAGTTCCTCGGCAGTCCACTGGGATCTTCTCTCAAGTCAGTGTCCATGTACAGTCGCGTGTCTGTCTGCAGTCTGAATAGGAAGACAATAGCGCCTAGCCCAAAGAGAACGGTGTGTCCGTCAGTATCCCCGACTCACCGATCACACAACCTGGGTGCCGAGAAGAGAGAGATATCACCAGAGCTATCGGAGTTCGTTCAGTTTACAAGAACAGCTTATAATATACCATGTAGGTGAACAGTCTTCAAAAGGCTGATTTCTTCGGCTGAATCGTCACCTTAGTGTTGTTTGTCTCCCGCTTGGTGGTGTACACAAACTCCTGGAGTGACGCAACCTACTTATCTCATCCAATAGCATCATCCGACACATAATGCTCATGAATAGCTTTGATGTTCGGCTGGTGTCACTGATAGAGGAACTTGGTCGAGACAGATCAGACCAAGATCTATCGAATCACTTTCAGAGATGAGCATTAATGTTCAAGGCCAAAGCTTCTTTAAACTTTTTCTGCTGTTTTACGTCACTGTCAACCTTTCCGAAACCGTCCTGCAAAAATCATTCCATCGATCAAATTCATGTCTCTTAAAGCACATATTTGTGATGTAAAGAATTTAAATTAGAGCGAAAGCTACCGAGAATTACAATGGTAATATACTAGTTATCCCAGTAATTACAAACTTTGAACCTAAAGTAGAATATTAGTGGGTGCTAGCAACATGTTAACCCAGTAACAATCAACTTAAATCGATCAGAAAACTTTTGTCAAACTTAACTTACCAATCGTAGCACGCTCACAGCTCCATTGCTTCCACCAGTAAGAACCACAGGAACCTCGTCCCCGAAAATAAGACAAGACAACTTCGAGTTTTCCACCTTGTGGATGACTGTAGGCTTCATAACTGAGATACCCATGTCCCATATCTGCAATTGCAAGCATTTCTGTAACTAGCTGAGGTAGAACATTTGGACAAAGCAATTCGTAATAGCTAACATTCCTTTCAGGATCTTTGCGCACAGGGAGAAACGATTTTAAAGCCCAACATATCTCTCGCGTTACGACATGTTCCCTGTTCTTACAATCTCCACGTATGGTCTCAACACAATTCCACATGTGAAGATGCTCAAAAGCTTCCGAATCAATAAATACCTCTAATCGCCCATCGGCCGAGACAGTCGCAAACACCGTAGAGTTTTTGTTTGACCACTGTACATCCGAAATAGGTTCATTTGCTGTCTGGATTACCATAAGTGCAGTCTCCTGAAATGAAAAGGTCACACCATGAGTTCCGTTGAGGCACGCACACTGTTGTTTAGAGAGATCAATGTTCTGATTCTAATGAATCTACATCCATGATTCTATATCCAGGTTCTCATGATCGGATAACTTGAATCGTAAATACTCATCACGCGTTGAACAGGGTTCAGCTTTAACACTCGGTCGTAACCTCCACGAACTTTCTCCAAATTGTACTGATAAAAATAGTATGTCTGTCCCTGGTTTCTGGAGCAACCTAAAATAATGGTGTAACCTCTCTTACTATTTTCTTGTTTTATACATAAGATAGCACGTGATCAACACCAGGGGCCTACCAGTGTCTATTTGTATCGAGAAGACAGTAGATGACCAACCATGCAAGAGAACGAAGTAACTCGAATCAAGGTGGTCTGTCTAAAAGGAGCCAAAGAAACATTTGAGATGGAATGAAGCATGCAGAAAATGACAGGAAAACTGATGCATAATCTGAAGCAAGAACGGAATGGAAAACAAACAGATGGGATTGGAAGAAGATACGGAGTAGATGAACGGTGATTGAAGGGAGTGATATCAGACCAGCTTTTGGATTGACAGTTCTGGGATAACTCTGGGTGAGGAGTACAGAGGAACCAGTCCGAGGCAAGAAAGTACTCTGTTGACTATCAAAGATATTTGAGTGGGAAGCGTCGAATTCCCGTCACGTAGACTATTTCATCGGTGGATAACGAGGTGCATCATTTTCTGCACTGGACCCGGCGGGGGCTAAGGATAACTCGAAGCCCAACCAGCCAAGTTGACTGTTGCCCAGGCGTATGTCAAGAATTGCCTAGCACAAGTTACCTATGGGACTGAAAAACATAGCAAATCGGAAACAACCTCTCAGGGAATTGAGAGAGTCTCGTTCGACTCGAAACAACCATGAATGTTGAACAGGTAAACTTAAGCATAGGAAACAAACATCCAGAAAGAACTACGCATTATTATCCTTATGTACAGATCAGCAAGGAAATTAATCAGTTCTTGTAACTCGATCACAGGACTTGTATCAATTACATCGTCGAGGAAAAGAGTAAAGGTAAAAGGCCGAACGAAGGTAGAAGAAAACTTGTGAACAAGCTCTGCAAATACAAATTGTAAAACCAATTGGAAAATCCCCATGGGTGCATTCCTTAAAATGAACATTTCTATATTTATAGAATAGGCAATGACCTGATTTATTTATTTAGTCTTATCTTCCATGACCACGCTGGAATATGCTGGAATATCAGCCTGGCCTGCAAAATGGATTGCTTTGACAAACTGAGTCGCAGTGTCACGCCAGTTTCGAACAGCCCAGCTTCCGAACTTGATGATCACTTGGTAAGCTAAAATATTGACGAACCGTATAGGGCTTAGATGGGAGTTTCAGAAGGTGCACCTGCTCTTCACGCCAGAAGCGAACAGTCCAGTCACTGCTACAGCTCAAGAAGAAATTCGGTACGAAGCGATTCCAACGTACCTGCCACCGAAAATTTCTGACTGTTACGAAGGATCGCTTCAACGCCAACAAGCCAACAAGGAGCTTCATCATGATCCTTCTCTATCTTCCTAACTTGACGCGAGTATCTTGTTCAAGATTTGTATTCCAGTTGCTTGGACGCTTAGGGCAGAATCAGCAAGTTGATCCATCCCTACATATTTGGCCTTTAAAAAATTAAAACTTCGTTCCAAAAATTGTTACAGATAATTTTCTCTCAAGTTCTATGCGAGTAATGAATGGGGGAGAACATATATGTCTAAAACCGTCCTGACAATTTTCTTATCATCATAGAATATTACTGTTACTGCCATATGACCTGATATACAGGTCCTGTGTGCCCGACGTAAGTGGCCATGTACTGCTCACTGTAAGAACGGTCACACTTGTACACACGCCCTTCTTCACTTCCCACCAAGTAAACTCTGCATGTCGACCGACATCATTAACCATTAGTTAGTTAAGGCAGCCCGCGCGCGGGGTCTGTGGTCTTCAGTTCATAACACTTATTTACTTATGGATAAAGTTCCAAGCCTTGTTGGAACCCGGCACCAGCTTTCGTTTGAACCGCTGTAAGTTCAGTAATTGGACGAAGCCAAGTATTGCAGGTTTTCCTAAGTTCTGAGTTAGCATGTCACTATTTAACTTAGATGCTGAAGTATTTAAAAAACGCCACAAAGCTCACCCGGGATCTCTTGGACAAAAATCGAAACACATTCCCGCCGCACGTCGAGATATAAATGGCTGAGCTTGTTCCCCTTTCGAAGATCCAGAGACCTTTTTGAGTTTGATTAGGTTCACAAACTCCAAATCCTGCAACCCATCAAAATCATCAGTGCGCATACATCATGGAGTATTTTAAAGAGTACACCTACTATACATAACGAATTGAACAGAATCCCATAGCAGACCTTAGATACTGATTCTCTTCTGTAAAATTGCTGAAATAATGTAGCTTCAATTGAGTACTATAGTTTGGAATACCCAAAACGTTCATGGCAGACGCAGATGAACTACTTTAAGAGTTACGTTAGATATTATTGTACAAATATAAACCATGGTTCATTGTAGCACCTCTTTACCTTCTTCAAAAACCACTGAGAAACGCGGCCATCTGTAGAAATGGAGACAAGAGACTCTCCATGTTCAGATGCGGAGTCAATCCATTGTATCTTCCAAATCGGATCTCCATGCCTGCCTGAGTTCATGCCGCTCTGCACAACTGGTGATGCATCTTTCGGATTCCTCGTGTCGTAGATTGCTAGTATACCGTTGTAGAAGCCAACTGTTGGTTGTTTCTCGTATCAGCGTCACATGAAGGACATGGGTAATTCTTATACGCTGGACATGCTACGTTTTTAATTAAACGAAACTGAGACAATATGATAGACAAGGTTTCTAGACAAGATCGTCATTGAAGTACCCAAGCGAGGGAAAATCAGATAAGGACAAGAATCTATAACCCAAAGCAATCAACTATGAGTGCTGATCTTCAACGTGATCTTCTCATTGCATCTTTTCTATCATGTTTACAGGAGAAGGGGAAAGGGCAAGGAAACTGAATGAGGGTTAAAGCAAACTTGAAATCGACTGCTGGCTTATCCAGACAATTGAAATTATGTAGTTTCTCCAGTAGGAGATTATGCCTACTTCAAGCATTGAAGTAATCATCGAAATCAACCTGCAAGCAAGGTTGGAGATGAAGTAGAAAAGTCGATAGCAGTAACGTCAGACTTGCAAGCTATCGTTGCCAGAGGATACCCAGGGTTTTTTATGGACCAAAATGCCACCACACCTCCCTTTTGAGTGCCAAAGTCAAACTGTCCGTATCCAACTGTCAGCAAGTCCTTGTTCACCTGAGGCATATCCCCACAGGTGTTAATGACCTTGCCTGATGTGCAGAAATTTAACTCTTTGCGGGGAGATCGCAGGAATATACTTTCAAGGTGGAATGCCCCTTTCGAGTTGGTTAGGTGAATCAATTCATCAATTTGAAACCCGATGCGGATAACTTTTGCCCGTGTCATAGAGAGAAAAGACTGAGAAGTTAGTCGGACGTTTAAAGAGCTTCGGTTACTGGGAGGGTTATTGACTTTGTTCAGTAGCTACTTGGTACAGACTTTTGTCGATAATCGTATCGGAGGACAGTAATGTACCTTGTTCCAGCACATGCAGCTAACATTCTTTTCAGCTGTGAGATCGCATTTGTAATCCCAAAGCCAATTTAATTTCTGATCAGATACTTCTGTCGGTGATGGTGGTGGAATTACAGGTTCTCCATTGTCAGGAGTTATGGCTGGAACTGGAACTGGAGCTGGAGGAGGCTCCTTCTTAGGAGGAGAAGCTTCTGTTACTTCCGGTTTGGGTGGTTCGGGTGGAGGTGGCTCTGGATCCCGCGGCCGATAATCTTTATACGCCAAAAGCTGGACAACAGACAACCCTCGTTACTTCCAAACAAGAGATTTGCAATATACTCAGAGCTGCATTCTTGAAGAGTCACGCCCAAATGCCTCCGTCGAAGCCATGTTATTCTTCCCACCGTTCCTTGTTATATGGGTATGATGTTTGGGTTTGCATTGCGAGCAACATACGAGGAAAAAGTTCTTCAGAGTTGTCTTAGCAGTACTGGACTCATCAGCTGTTTAGTTTAATGCGCGTATGTGCTTCATCCAAGATGTCCACTTAGAGAAACATGGTGCTAGAGAAAACTGGTAGCGACAAACCTTTTCATGGAACGTGTTTTGGACTAGAGCTCTCTCCGCAACCTGCAGCGACTTGAATAGATTCGTAAGCTTGGAAATATCACCTTCAAACACTCGGGCGCGTGCACTTTGCAAACCATCGCTACCCAACGCACCATCACCAACACTGCTACCAACAACACCTGGGCGTTTCCCAAATAGATCTTCCACTTGGACACTTGCTGTAGTCGATATCCTTCGAGACAGAACCCCTCCACTAACAGAACCTCTCCGGGATATTTTTCCACTAACAGATTGTCGTCGAGAGTATTGACCAGATACCGATCCTCGTCTAGAAAATTGAGCTCCTCCTTGTGTAGATGGTCGTCTAGAAGGCTGCAAAACACGAGATCCCAAGTTTGACAAGCATATCCAATTTTTCTAGGAAAAATCATCTCCAACACGGAAAGTATAAAACTACAACAAGGTACAAACCGAACACAATAAGAGCAACCTATAAACGAGAGAGCAACGACATAAGGATAGAAGAAAAGTAGACTCTGCGAGATCACAAGGTTAGTGCTCAGTGTTCGCTAGGTTAACCTCTTAGGAAACAGAAGGACAGAGACAGCAAGGTCAGAAATTTGAAAATAGTGGATAGCGAAACTAACTACCAACATCTGTCGTGCGAATACATATCGCCATACACTCTACATCGCTGACATGCTACTCACATACACATACGCACACACATGCACACATATAAGGCGCGAGAGAGTACACACTCAAATGTCACAACTGGAATTCCCGTCGGTCAATTACCCTACTGGCAACAAACCGTCACCGTCACAAACATGAGTCAAGCCCAACCCACTCCACACTCGGAGAATCCAGGTCGACGCAAAGGGGAAAGTCACTCTACGCTCCCAACGCTTCCAGGCTCGACTCGAAGAACTGACGTTCTTCGAGCCGTCCCCGACTGTATACCCCTCGTGACCGGAACCCTAACTTTACGGCTAAATATAGTAAGTGTCTGAACTTCGTGAGCCGACTCGTAACTACATGACAGCTGTCGTGCGAATACATATCGCCATACACTCTACATCGCTGACATGCTACTCACATACACATACGCACACACATGCACACATATAAGGCGCGAGAGAGTACACACTCAAATGTCACAACTGCTCCCAACGCTTCCAGGCTCGACTCGAAGAACTGACGTTCTTCGAGCCGTCCCCGACTGTATACCCCTCGTGACCGGAACCCTAACTTTACGGCTAACTATAGTAAGTGTCTGAACTTCGTGAGCCGACTCGTAACTACATGACAGCTGTCGTGCGAATACATATCGCCATACACTCTACATCGCTGACATGCTACTCACATACACATACGCACACACATGCACACATATAAGGCGCGAGAGAGTACACACTCAAATGTCACAACTCGCCCCCCTAGCTGGCGGTCAGGTCCCTCTGACTCCCAAGTAGCCCCATCTACAACTACATGCTATACACCTTCGTGGGTGCGCGAACCAGTAGGCCGGGTGCTATGTCGCCCCATCGTTAGTCGCCTATCTGCAATTCATAACATGTGAAGATCAAGTCATCTACCCCTATGAAGTACATCGAGGACAAACCCATCGTCCAGTCGGAATAACAACGATAGGCGGAGTTAGGCACGACATGTGCCATCCCCTAGAGCACCTATCACACACCAACATACGGGCCGCCTGACCAGCCGACCCACACAGCATGCACCTCAAGCTAGCACGTACTATCGCTAAGCTTGGGTCCATAGTGCCATCTACGTTTGGGAGGTGGCATGGCGCACAATTGCGCACATGATCCTTCCAAACAACGCCGTCACGACCCTCCAACAGGAGAACTCCAGAAGGTAACACCTCCCGCACCCGCAAGATGGTGCGTCCCGCCGTCACATCCAATGTCGTCGGTGCAGTCTGCTGTAGACAGACGTAGTCTCCCACATGGAATCTACGAATTGATGGTCGATAACCTCCTCCCCGAATGGTTGCATACCGCAACGTATCTCTATGTTGAGCAATCGCAAGATTCTCAAACGCTGCAGGCATAACTCTTCGAAAGAGCTCTGCACGTTGAGAACATACTCTCACCCACATATTCGGGTCATCAAGGTTCACCACCTCGCTAGACTCACGACGAATCGATGTTGGCAAGTCTGGATCTCGGCCGTACAATAGAAAATATGGTGAGAAGGAAGCCAAGGATGCCTGCCGACTGAACCGATATCCCATGGCCAACCACGGTAACTGGATATCCCAGTCCCCAAGATGACCTTTGTGCAGGCCATACTTGCGCAACGCCCTCTTCACCGTCTGTACAACACGTTCAGCTAAACCATCCGCCTCTGGATGATCTCGCGACGTGGTCCGATGATCAATCAGTGCCTTGTCGCACAAGACCTGAAACTCACCCTGAAACTCCGTTCCCTGATCGGTCAACACCTCAGCTGGTGCACCATAGTGACTAAGCACTCTGTCAAGAAAAGCATACGCTACTCCCTCACTTGCCTTGTCAGGTAATGCCACCAACTCAATCCACTTGGAGAAATGCTCCACCATCACCAACACATACCGATGATGTCGTACAGTTAAAGGTAGTGGTCCAGCAAAGTCCAAACTCCAACGGTAACCCAACCCCATGATGGGTAATGGATGTAACACTGGTGTCGGGGCATTGAATGATGCCCTCACTCGATCACAAACCATGCAACGTGATACCAACTGCTGTACCTGAGTATGCATACCACGCCACCAATACTGACCAAGGAGTAAGCTGTATGTACGCTTCACTCCAAAATGTCCCAACTCCTCATGAGCATGCCTCACAATGCGTGCTCTCTGGGCTGGATGTGGTACTACTCGTACCCTACCGTCCTCCCATACTCGGAGAACATGTGATCCCTCCAATCGGTACCTCTTGGCCCGTTGGAGAACACGATCTCGCTCCTTGGCACCCACTGTGCCTGGCACCATGCTGGTCCGTAGGAACTCCAACACCAATGCATCATCGTGTACATCACGCTGATCCACACCACCATCCTCAACCTCAGGATCTGGAGATCGACCATCTACTCTCTGACTAGAGTAAGATGTCAGACGATCCTCTCTGCTGGAGTTCCCACGTAACCAACACATGAAGGCAGATGCATGCCAACCAGGCACCATCTCCTCGTCAACCTCACCATGCCATCTAGCTCCAGTGTCATCCTCCTGGCTAGTGCATGGGTTTCGACTCAAACCATCGGCATCTAGGTTCGCAACTCCAGGTCTATGCACCACCTGAAAGTCGTACTCCTGTAAGATGAGAGCCCACCGTGCAAGCTTCCCTGTAAGCTTGTCGGACTCCATCAACCACTTGAGCGGTTGATGATCAGTAACAAGGGTGAACTGCGTACCAAACAAGTAACACCTGAAGTGCGCCACAGCCCACACCGCTGCCAAGCACTCTCCCTCGTACGAACTATACCGCGACTCCGCTGCATTGTTCGAACGACTAGCGTACGCAACCACAAACTCCTTGCCCTCATCATCACGCTGCGTCAACACCGCTCCAAGTCCCAACATACTCCAATCAGTGTGCAATTGGTATGGACGACCTCTGATAGGTCTCCTCAAGATGGGAGCGGCCACCAACCTGGCCTTGAGCTCAACAAAAGCTCTCTCCTGCTCATCTCCCCATTGCCACTCCTGATCTGACTTCAGCAACTGGTTCAAAGGCTTGGCTATAGCACTGAACCCCTTCACATACCTCCGATAGTAGTTCGCTAAACCCATAAATGCACGAACTCTACTCACATCCGTGGGACGAGGGATGCGTGCAATAGCCTCCACCTTTGCTTGTTGAACTCCTAAACCACCTGGGTATATCACATGACCCAAGTACTCAACCTTCTCCTGGAAGAACTTACACTTCCCAGGATGTAACCTCAAACCATGAGCCCTCAATCGCTCAAACACAATCTGCAAGTGTATCTGGTGTTGCTCCACAGTGTCACTAAACACCAAGATATCATCAATGTAACATCTGACAAAATCCAGCCCCGCCAGGATTCTGTCCATAACCCTCTGAAACTCGGCAGGTGCATTCTTCAACCCAAAGGGTAAGAATCGCCACTGATACAAACAATCCTTGCCGTGGGAGTTGACGCCCCAAAACGCTGTCTTGGTTTTGTCCTCCTCCCGAATTGGCAACTGATGGTATCCTGCCCGAAGATCCAAAGTACTAAAAATCCTCGCATGTCCCACCACATCGAAGATCTCCTCAGGTGTAGGCATGGCATACTTATCGGACTTCGTCTGCCGATTGATAGGACGGTAGTCTCCACACATGCGCCTATCCGTGTAGTTGCCATGTACATCCTTCTTCACCGGCATGACAGTGGCTGACGCATACTCACCATGCGATAACTCCACTAGTCCAGCCTCCAGTAGGTCCAACGTCCTACTCCGAATCAAATCTCTCTCCATCTCACTGTATCGATAAGGACGACGGAAGATTGGCGTATCACTAGCCAATTCTATCCGTATACCGGGTCCAATCAACGCACCCAACTCCTTCATACTGAAAGCAAAACAACTCCTATAGTCTCGTAGGAATTGTGTCAATCGTCGCCTCTCTCCTCCTGTGATCTGGGAACCAATCAATGGCTCCCACTCCTCCTCCATAGGCACACTAGAGGGAGGCGACACTGTCAATGGTTGCTACGCTACACACTGCAAAGAAGGGTTCTCCGTACCCTTCTTCGTAGCCACCTCCACGTGAGAATCCTCTCCAACTGCATGGGCTGCAACTCTGGCAAGTCCTTTCGTCACGTCCCATAAACTCCAAGGATGACAAATATCTCGCCTGTCGCCCCCAGCCATTGCTACTACCGTCCCGGTAGGCAATGAGCTAATAAGTGGTGTTACAACCACCAAATCTGCGCGCAAACGGCGTTGCTCGGCCAAACCCAAGCTCACAATCCACGTCAAGCAGTTCAGGTCCATAGCCTGACCCAAAACCTGACGACGCGACGCCTCTGAAACTGAAGAAGCCGCGGTCACACCAGTAAGAAACCCCATCGCACGCTCTCTCTCATCAGCGTTGGGCTCCACCAACTGATGTAGGGTACTGTCCCATAGTAGTCCAGGTCCCCCATCACGATACGCGTGTGATGCCGGATAACTGACAAATGTAGGTAAAGCCATCCGAGGCTGACCTACGCGGTTCACCAACGCCATAGGTGACCTGTCAGCAACTCTCACTACTTGAGAGTGCCGGGAAACATCCAAGATACTGTCAACGGTGAGTTTAGTATCACGCTTCACCGAATCATAAGCATGACGCAATATCTCACGTGGCAAA